CTTCAAAAATCCCAACTCTGACAAAAGTCAGTGGAAGACTGGCGATCAGATGATGGAAATTTACCAGTCGTTCATTCAGGTCTCATTTTTGATCTCATTTTCGACCCTTAGGAATCCCTTCACATCATTTTTGAGCCGTATTATATTCTATATTTCTTCCACATGCGTTTTTTATATAATGACGGATTTTTTAGAAAAGTTGGTGCACATTTTATTCAGATAAGTTTTCAAAAAAAAAAATCTCGGGAGAGATGGGACAGAATGCAGCCTCTTTCTCTTTTTTCGCTATTTCTAATCGTTTCAGCCGCAGTTATGAAAGTTTTGAAAACTTATCTATGGGCACTCAGTCGTCTAGGATACTTGCGTTGCTTACTTGTTAAGAGCCACAGAGGAAACAACTGCCGTGTAAAAAAAGCATCCAAAGTTTGCCTTTATATTCGTTTTGTCCACGAGAGTTTTTGTTAGTGCAGTTCCAGTGATCCAAGGGTATTTTCTGGGCATTTTTGATTGGCTTTCGCCCAGCGGAAAGCGCATGCATTTAAATCGGTTTTTTGGGAATTAATTTCCACGAGTTGCAAGTGGCACCGCATCATAGTCCTTGAGACTTTGCCCAGACACTGCCATCTGATGGTCTGGCACCTCCCCGCATGATATCAAAGCTTGCATTTTCAACTTCAGTTAGTAAAAATCACGCTGCGGTTGTTAGAGCAATCAAATTAAAATTAGGGCGAACAAAACAGTTAAGTAATCCAGTGATTTGTGGGACTATTTGCCTTGCAGCAATATCCGGTGGTATCCATCGAGGACTGGTTTGACCAGGATGATTGGGACAACTGGACAAAGGCGCTTGCAAATACGCACATACAGATCGTTGGTGATGATTTGACTGTCACAAACCCGAAAAGAATTCAGATGGCTGCCGAAAAGAAGGCTTGCAATTGCCTGTTACTTAAGGTATCTTTTCGTTGTTCACTGGCTTGTACAGATTGAAGCATGAGCGATGATCCAGAGATGCCGACTACTAATTGGTTTCCGTTTAAAGGTGAATCAAATTGGCTCGGTAACTGAGTCAATTGATGCGGCAAATTTGGCGCGCAAAAACGGCTGGGGTGTTATGGTGTCGCATCGGTCTGGTGAAACCGAAGATACGTTCATCGCTGATCTCGTCGTCGGCCTTGCCACTGGACAGGTTTCTATTCTAATCGTCTGAACTTTGAGTAAATTGCCGTTCATTTTAAATATATCTTCATGCTAGCAATTCAGGTGGGATATTTGCTGTTGGTTAGTTTTGTGCTTTTGCTGGCATTCTTAGATCTTTTGGAAAGTGGCTTTTTCTCAGTTCTTACTGGTCGTTAGTACATCTTTCTACGCTGATCACAAATGGCAGTCTGTTATAGCAATTAGGAAAACAAGTCAATTGGAAAGCAGAAAATTTATGGGTTTTTTCCACTGTTAGGGCCGGCCAAGTACGCGAGGAAGCAGCCTTCACGGCTGCGCACGTCTCACGTACAGACACGTGGCCGTAAAGGAAATTCGAAAAATACATGAATTCGTATGTAGAACCCTCAAAGCTGGCGAACACGTGGCCTTCGGCAAATGAAATTTTCTTTTTTTTTTTTTTAATGTAGGCATTAGATAGGATGGTATTCTGTATGTTTCTCATAGTTCTGTGCATTTTTTAAATGGGACATTAATTCAGATAAAAACTGGAGCTCCGTGCCGTTCGGAGCGCCTCGCCAAATACAATCAGATACT